ATAAGACGCTTAGGTTAGGCCTTATTAGGCTCTTAAACAAAATATTTTTCGGTTTGTCCAATTTGATAAATACAAAACTGTACTATCTGATGAGCCATCGATATATATTTGTGAATTTGATTACAATGCTTCCATACGTACTCTCATTTTAAGAGGCTGGGTTGAACCTGTCACACTTGCGGGAGTTACTAAATATTTTGAATTAGAAAATACATTACAGTACCATCAACAGGGCTTGCAATAGATGCAACGAAATGACGTTATCTTGAGTTATCTTGAGATGATTTCGGGGCTTTAGTGTCCCCGCGGCCCGGTCCTCGACCAGGCCTCCACCCCCAGGAAGCAGCCCGTGACAGCTGACTAACACCCAGGTACCTATTTTACTGCTAGGTAACAGGGGCATAGGGTGAAAGAAACTCTGCCCATTGTTTCTCGCCGGCGCCTGGGATCGAACCCAGGACCACAGGATCACAAGTCGAGCGTGCTGTCCGCTCGGCCGACCTCACCCCTACTACCCCCCCCCCCCCCCTTTGACACTCCATAAGCATATTAAATAAACTAATAAACTCAAAATTCACTTAATTAACATGCAAATTGGCTTTAACGAACGCGGGAACACAAGTTAATAATGCAATTGAAAAAAAAATTAACTTTGCAAACCTAAATTGAGGCATTTTAATGATCTTATGACCTAACTGTTGCAACCAACTATTGGAGCCGGTCGGCCGAGCGGACAGCACACTGGACTTGTGATCCTGTGGTCCCGGGTTCGACCCCGCGCGCCGGCGAGAAACAATGGGCAGAGTTTCTTTCACTCTATGCCCCTGTTACCTAACAGTAAAATAGGTACCTGGGAGTTAGTCAACTGTCACGGGCTGCTTCCTGCGGGTGGAGGCCTGGTCGAGGACCGGGTTGCGGGGACACTAAAGCCCCGAAATCATCTCAATATAACCTCAAGATAACCAATGAGCCAAATTGATTAAAACTTAGGTCATAGTTGCAGAAGCATTTTTCGCAAGTTTTATTCGGAACAATGAAAGCCCGCAGCTGATTGGCCGCCGGCGAGGGGGAGGAATACTGATGACTCAGGGAAAAATATTTCTTCAAAAATATTCTCAGGAGAAAATCCTTAGCTGTTAGGCTTATATTGTGTCGCATTATTTCTTCTTATTCTCTGTTTTTTTTTTAATTTTTTTATGATTCGTATTTTTTACTTATCATTCTTCTTATTTTGTTTGTATTATTATTCTTTATTTTTTTTATTTCTTTCCTTCCTTTTTCTTATTTCCTATTTATCTATATTTCAGTATTATTAAGTAATCTTGGTCGATATTTTCTTCCCAGTCCTCTGTAACTCTACCCCAGTCCTCTGTAACTCTACCCCAGTCCTCTGTAACTCTACCCCAGTCCTCTGTAACTCTACCCCAGTCCTCTGTAACTCTACCCCAGTCCTCTGTAACTCTACCCAGCACTCTGTAACTCTACCCCAGTCCTCTGTAACTCTACCCCAGCACTCTGTAACTCTACCCCAGTCCTCTGTAACTCTACCCCAGTCCTCTGTAACTCTACCCCAGTCCTCTGTAACTCTACCCCAGTCCTCTGTAACTCTACCCCAGTCCTCTGTAACTCTACCCCAGTCCTCTGTAACTCTACCCCAGTCCTCTGTAACTCTACCCCAGTCCTCTGTAACTCTACCCCAGTCCTCTGTAACTCTACCCAGCACTCTGTAACTCTACCCAGCATTCTGTAACTCTACCCAGCACTCTGTAACTCTACCCAGCACTCTGTAACTCTACCTTGCACTCTGTAACTCAACCCAGCACTCTGTAACTCTACCCCAGTCCTCTGTAACTCTACCCAGCACTCTGTAACTCTACCCCAGCACTCTGTAACTCTACCCCAGCACTCTGTAACTCTACCCAGCACTCTGTAACTCTACCCAGCACTCTGTAATTCTACCCCAGCACTCTGTAACTCTACCCAGCACTCTGTAATTCTACCCCAGCACTCTGTAACTCTACCCAGCACTCTGTAACTCTACCCAGCACTCTGTAACTCTACCTTGCACTCTGTAACTCTACCCCAGTCCTCTGTAACTCTACCCAGCACTCTGTAACTCTACCCCAGTCCTCTGTAACTCTACCCAGCACTCTGTAACTCTACCCCAGCACTCTGTAACTCTACCCCAGCACTCTGTAACTCTACCCAGCACTCTGTAACTCTACCCAGCACTCTGTAATTCTACCCCAGCACTCTGTAACTCTACCCAGCACTCTGTAATTCTACCCCAGTCCTCTGTAACTCTACCCAGCACTCTGTAACTCTACCCCAGTCCTCTGTAATTCTACCCCAGTCCTCTGTAACTCTACCCAGCACTCTGTAACTCTACCCCAGCACTCTGTAACTCTACCCAGCACTCTGTAACTCTACCCCAGTCCTCTGTAACTCTACCCAGCACTCTGTAACTCTACCCAGCACTCTGTAATTCTACCCAGCACTCTGTAATTCTACCCCAGTCCTCTGTAACTCTACCCAGCACTCTGTAACTCTACCCCAGCACTCTGTAACTCTACCCAGCACTCTGTAACTCTACCCCAGTCCTCTGTAACTCTACCCAGCACTCTGTAACTCTACCCAGCACTCTGTAATTCTACCCAGCACTCTGTAATTCTACCCCAGTCCTCTGTAACTCTACCCAGCACTCTGTAACTCTACCCCAGTCCTCTGTAACTCTACCCAGCACTCTGTAACTCTACCCAGCACTCTGTAACTCTACCCCAGTCCTCTGTAACTCTACCCAGCACTCTGTAACTCTACCCAGCACTCTGTAACTCTACCCAGCACTCTGTAATTCTACCCAGTCCTCTGTAACTCTACCCCAGTCCTCTGTAACTCTACCCAGCACTCTGTAATTCTACCCAGCACTCTGTAATTCTACCCAGCACTCTGTAACTCTACCCAGCACTCTGTAATTCTACCCCAGCACTCTGTAACTCTACCCAGCACTCTGTAACTCTACCCAGCACTCTGTAACTCTACCTTGCACTCTGTAACTCAACCCCGCACTCTGTAACTCAACCCCAGCACTCTGTAACTCTACCCAGCACTCTGTAACTCTACCCAGCACTCTGTAACTCTACCCAGCACTCTGTAACTCTACCCAGCACTCTGTAACTCTACCTTGCACTCTGTAACTCAACCCAGCACTCTGTAACTCAACCCCAGCACTCTGTAACTCAACCCAGCACTCTGTAACTCAACCCAGCACTCTGTAACTCAACCCAGCACTCTGTAACTCATCCCAGCACTCTGTAACTCTACCCCAGCACTCTGTAACTCTACCCAGCCCTCTATAACTCTACCCAGCACTCTGTAACTCTACCCTAGCTCTCCGTAACTCTACCTCAGCTCTCTGTAACTCTACCCAGCACTCTGTAACTCTACCCAGCACTCTGTAACTCTACCCTGCACTCTGTAACTCTACCCAGCACTCTGTAACTCTACCCTGCACTCTGTAACTCTACCCAGCACTCTGTAACTCTACCCTGCACTCTGTAACTCTACCCTGCACTCTGTAACTCTACCCAGCACTCTGTAACTCTACCCATCACTCTGTAACTCTACCCAGCACTCTGTAACTCTACCCAGCACTCTGTAACTCTACCCCAGTCCTCTGTAACTCTACCCAGCACTCTGTAACTCTCCCTAGCACAATGTCACTTCAAGCTTTTCAAGCTCTCTCTTGTTTATACCAAGCGTTTTCCTTCCATTTTTCCAGACTCTATAATACCAGGCCGTGTTCTGAACGCGTCTCGCTAGCCTTTTCGGAACGTGTTCCGTTCTTTTGCGTACACTCCTGCTCGATTTCACTCTATAACTTTAGTTGTTTACTCCCAGCGCTCTCTGGCCCTCCCTAGCTCTCTATCTGATCCTCCCTAGCTCTTACTGGCCCTTCCTAGCTCTCAGTGGCTCTTCCTAGCTCTCATTGGCCCTTCGTAGGTCTCAGTGGCTCTTCCTAGCTCTCACTGGCCCTTCCTAGCTCTCAGTGGGCATTCCTAGCTCTCGCTGGCCCTTCCTAGCTCTCGGTGGCTCTTCCTAGCTCTCACTGACCCATCCTAGGCTCTGTTTGACTCTTCCCAGCTCCCAGACACTCTTCAAAACTCTTCAACCCTTCACAGCTTGTTTCAATTGCACTTTGACTCTTTCCAACACTTTCCAACATTTTCCCAAACCACCGAAGGCTGGCAGTTTGGAACATTTCCTATTCTGTTCAGACTTCAACAAACCTGAACGTGTGCCCCCTGGTTGGTATATCGAGGTGTTGGTACCACCAGAGGCTCTGGTGGTATGAGGCTCATACCACCAGAGGCTCTGGTGGTATTCTTGATTTTTAATAAACAAAACATTGCCTTCGTATCCCTCTATGTCTTAACATTCACCTTGAGTGAGAACGAAGCACGTGTTAATAAAGGATAATGGTCAATAATGGTCAATGGTTAATAAAGGGCCAGGTAATAGGAGTCAAGGGTGGTCGAAGGTGGCATTAACACAGAGAATCGCGTTCAAAACAAGAGGGTTCTCGAAACTTTGATAATTGAATTCACAGATAACCAAGAATGGATTGAAACGCTATATCTGATGTGAATATTGCCTGGGATACGTGGTAGAGGGGATGAGGAGGAGGCTGGGAGAATTCAGAGATAAAGATAAGGAGGGAAGGAACTGGTAAATAAAAAACAAATATCGAGAGTTGAGGGAAAATGGCACCAGATCTGAAAAATGTGGCAGAGATAAACATTCTATTTATCTTATTTCACTCCCTAACTTAATTCTAGCGATAATTCGTCATGTTTATCAATGGAAAATGAGTTGATTGTTGAAGCAGTGGCTCTTATCTCTCTCTCTCACTCTCTCTCTCTCTCTCTCTCTCTCTCTCTCTCTCTCTCTCTCTCTCTCTCTCTCTCTCTCTCTCTCTCTCTCTCTCTCTCTCTCTCTCTCACCGTGTTTTCGATGCCCGTTGCTCGCTGCTGAGTTTTCCTGCTAATGTACTGGTCGATGTAGAGAGTGAGACGCACCATCAGCTGAATCATCATAGCTACGAACAGGTTGAAGTGCATCCGGGTCCTGTTGTTCCGCAGTGACCTGTTGACAGAGCAGAGGAGAGGGTGAAGGGTCATGTATGACAACTCATGTCAGGACACAAGGCACTACAGAGTTATGACAACTCATGTCAGGACACAAGGCACTACAGAGTTATGACAACTCATGTCAGGACACAAGGCACTACAGAGTTATGACAACTCATGTCAAGACACAAGGCACTACAGAGTTATGACAACTCATGTCAGGACACAAGCCAATACAGTGTTATGACAACTCATGTCAGGACACAAGGCACTACAGAGTTATGACAACTCATGCCAGGACACAAGGCACTACAGTGTTATGACAACTCATGTCAAGACACAAGGCACTACAGTGTTATGACAACTCATGTCAGGACACAAGGCACTACAGTGTTATGACAACTCATGCCAGGACACAAGGCACTACAGTGTTATGACAGCTCATGCCAGGACACAAGGCACTACAGTGTTATGACAACTCATGTCAAGACACAGAGGGTAAATAAAAGGAAAACCTAATCTCACTCTCGCGGTGTTTCTGCATATTTCACGACGTTTCGTCTTTGCACCACAGCGAGGAGGGTTACAGTCCTGTTCCACCTCTACTCTCTCTCTCTCCATCCATCCACTCTCAAATTCATTCGTCTATTCCACTCCATTCGGCTGTTATTCAATCAGTATCTTCCCCCTGTGTGTGATTTTTTCCCCTGACCTTTGTTTAGTCTATTGAGGCTCATGTAGAATGAGAAGACGAATGAATTCGGTGCTTTTCTGAGGTTGTTACAGTGGAAGACCTCACAGTGTAAGACCACACAGTGTAAGACCACACAGTGTAAGACCTCACAGTAGAAGACCACACAGTGTAAGACCTCACAGTAGAAGACCTCACAGTGTAAGACCTCACAGTGTAAGACCTCACAGTAGAAGACCTCACAGTGTAAGACCACACAGTGTAAGACCACACAGTGTAAGACCACACAGTGGAAGACCACACAGTGTAAGACCACACAGTGGAAGACCACACAGTGTAAGACCACACAGTGGAAGACCACACAGTGTAAGACCACACAGTGGAAGACCACACAGTGTAAGACCACACAGTGGAAGACCACACAGTGTAAGACCACACAGTGTAAGACCACACAGTGTAAGACCACACAGTGTAAGACCACACAGTGTAAGACCTCACAGTAGAAGACCACACAGTGTAAGACCACACAGTGTAAGACCACACAGTGTAAGACCACACAGTGTAAGACCACACAGTGGAAGACCACACAGTGGAAGACCACACAGTGTAAGACCACACAGTGTAAGACCACACAGTGTAAGACCACACAGTGTAAGACCACACAGTGGAAGACCACAGAGTGGAAGACCTCACAGTGTAAGACCACACAGTGGAAGACCACAGAGTGGAAGACCTCACAGTGTAAGACCACACAGTGTAAGACCACACAGTGTAAGACCACACAGTGGAAGACCACACAGTGTAAGACCACACAGTGGAAGACCACACAGTGTAAGACCACACAGTGGAAGACCACACAGTGTAAGACCACACAGTGGAAGACCACACAGTGTAAGACCACACAGTGTAAGACCACACAGTGTAAGACCACACAGTGTAAGACCACACAGTGGAAGACCACAGAGTGGAAGACCTCACAGTGTAAGACCACACAGTGGAAGACCACAGAGTGGAAGACCTCACAGTGTAAGACCACACAGTGGAAGACCACAGAGTGGAAGACCTCACAGTGTAAGACCACACAGTGGAAGACCACACAGTGGAAGACCTCACAGTAGAAGACCTCACAGTAGAAGACCTCACAGTAGAAGACCTCACAGTAGAAGACCACACAGTGTAAGGTCATACACACACATACCACGAAGCTGATCCCATCTGGTCTGGGATTTTAGAAACACAACTGGAAAATAACACCAATAAATCCTGATAATTCTACCTAAATGCTTCGGATGCGATAGATCAAAGAATTAAACAAAAGACCTGCTAATATAACAAGCTACAGTTGCAAGTAAATGTTTTGTTCTTCAATGGTATATATATATATATATATATATATATATATATATATATATATATATATATATATATATATATTGCGACGATACTGTCCAAGGAAGTCGTTCTTGTGGAGCATACTGAAAGACGTTCATCTAGCTTTGCTTCCCAGCAAACACAACATAGCCGAAGCGTTATTGTTTACTTTGGCAAGACGTTGATACAACGATGCGGATATATTGCGTGTTTGCTGGGAATTCATTGAGTTTCCTGTGACAGTTGACCGGTTGTTGACAGGAGCTGACAGCTCTACCAGTTTTAGAAAACAGATTCGTACCTAACAATATATATCTGACAGTCCTTAACACTGATCACTGGATAGTATTGACCTAACAGTGATCACCTGACAGTACTCAGCTGACAGTGTTTATCTGACACTGCTTTCAAAACAGTGACGAGGAAGGAGGAAGGTCTAGCTCTCACCCCCCAGCCTCCATGTAGCCTGGAGTGCTGGCTACATGGAGGCTCGGACAGCCTCCATGTAGCCTGGGGTGCTGGTATTACCTCCCGGACAGAGGGGAAGCAGTTCATTCAAATCCGGACACCAATACGTGACTCTTCTGACAATTTCCACGGAGATGGCTTCCTTATGTCGAAGACGAGAAGCCGAAGAATACAAGATTATCGACACTTGTCGATAATCTCCCGACATTGTCAACACATCGACAAACATTTCTCCTTGGTGCATGATTTACTTCTAGGTGAGCCAGAGAGAGAGGTCTATGGAAATATGCATAACGCGTGCTCAACTTGCAAGGGAATCGAACCCAGGGCCTCTGCCGGTAAAACAGTGAGTTGAAACTCTCCCTTTGATATTCTTATGGTCGTCCAGATGGTCTCAGTGGACCTAGCTCTTGTTTGCTAAATATAGTTGCTGTGGTCCTGGTGGTCGAACCTGTCGTTCCAGGTTCCAGGACAGGGGAATAGTATATTCCCATCATATCTTCAGTCAACAAGACATTTTACAATAACATCGATCTACTCTGAAATGCATGAATTTGTCTCCAAGGGAGAAAGCGAAATTACTCATATTCAGGTATTCATGGAGGAGAGTATCAATAGCCCCATAACTGAACCATGAGTCTTTCAACGATGGTAATTCCTCTTTCTGAGAGTAACGACTTCACTTTGGGGAGAGTGCCCACCTTCCAATCTCGAAGCACAGCATGGCTGCCGTATCTGAGCGCTACATATATCATACATAAGTGCTTGTGAGAGAGAAAAAGGAAGAACAGACATATAGACAGAAACAAAGAGAGACATATCACCAGTCACTCACCTGAAGTAGGAGAAGATAGCGAGAGAGACGAGGATGGAGGCCAGAGAGAGAGAGAGCCCAACAGTCTCAATCACTCGACTAACCTCGGCCACGTGTAGCTTAAGCTGTATCAAAGACAATACAGTAAATTAACTTTAGCTGTATAAAACATAATACAATAGATTAGCCAAAAGGACAAATGAAATACAACCTGCATAATGAAATTTTAACCTTTTGTATCTATGGAAAATATTGGTGGCAGCCGGTGGGATTCGATTGGATCTTGTATGCACCTGGTGCATGGCAATTGCATCTTACACCTGCTGCATACCGATGGGATCTTTCGTTCGCTTGTTGCATGGTGGTGGGATCTTGCATGCGCCTATTGCATTGCCTTAATATTTGCTTATATATAAAACCTTCAATATAAAAGTGAGAATGGAATGGAAAAATCATTGAAACAACTGCTCGAAAATATCATATTAGAATTTACAAAATCTGCCTAACGAACAGTTCAATTAAAAACAAAGCTGATTTCAAAATCATCTGATTATAGCTGATTAGCTATAATTATAGCTCAGCTGATCAAAAAGTCAAATAGATACATTTGGTGGTACACATAACTAGATACTTCAGCTGGTACACACAAAAAGAAATCTCAAATTGGTACACATAAACAGATACTTCTCTTACAACAGATCAGCAAATATTTCCCAATTTAGTTAAGCTTATGTTGGCAATAAAAAACCTTACATATATAATCAAAATATGAATTAATGTCCGAATCGTGTCAAATGATGCAAAACACAGTTTATGAGCTGCATGTGTTAAGCCTCTCATCCTCATCCTGACTAAACTATCCTCTAGTGGCGTGCCTTCATTTGCAACATGATGAATTGCTGGATGATGATAATCCAGAGGGATGGAATCCTCCTGGAACCAACTGGAAGTTGAGTTGCTTAGCCAATCTGCACGTAGGTGAGGGGTATCTGGCTGATGATTGGAAAAAGTGGGTTTCCAGTTCCTTGGTCTTGTCAGTACCAATTGCGTATCTAAGTTTGTAAGCTACAGTAGTTAGTGGAAGGGGAAGTTCACGTATTTTCATCGCATTAACAGCTTGAACTTATCTGTATATTTTTATTTTCCATTTGGTAGTGAGTTTCCTGTATGATTGTATGTAATTGAGTTTGGTCAGAGAGGGTGAGGTTCATTATCTCAATATATTCAACATTGAGATTTAAATATATTGGTAACAATTTCATCTGGCGATTATTTCTTTATTCTCACGAGGGTTCTTAGTGCCCGCTTTGAGTTCCGGAGACATTTGACCAGACCACACACTAGAAGGTGAAGGGACGACGATGTTTCGGTCCGTCCTGGACCATTCTCAAGTATATTTGCTGATCTTCCGGAGACAGTATGGTGCTGCTTCTGTGGTTACCTCCAGGCTTTCTCCCTTTCTGCCAGAAGGTCTGCTTGTGATGAATTCTCGGTAGTAACCTTCCTCTGTGTCTCAAGGTTGATTATGTCATCTAGCAGGTTCTCCATCTTCACCTTTCGGGTCATCTCACTCGGCAAGGATATAATGTAGCAGTTTATTCTGAGATTTAAGTTCCGGTCATCACTGGTGACCAAAATCACTCTCTTTGACAATCACTGCGTGAATTTGCTACATTTGACAATAATGACGTGTTCTGAATATACGTCGAATTTATCCATGTGGCAATTTTAAAGGAAACTATGTTTATAAAGCGCTGAACGAGGTTCACATAATCAGAGTGTTGTTATGATTTACTAATTGAATTCAGAATACACACACACACACACACACACACACACACACACACACACACACACACACACACACACACACACACACACACACACACACAACCTCCACCAACACAGGGACTGTAAGCAAAGTACGGCATTGTTCTCGCTACTGTTGAAATTACGTGAATTTTCATACCAAGTCTATACTGTGTGACCGCTTGTCATCTTTAGTTCTGACCTTTCATCGAAAACGGAGAGGATAACCTGGTGTTATCTGGTTAGATGGATGACCTAGTTGTTGTAGAATGTTGTTTGTGTTGTAGATGGATGGGTTATACCAGGTGTTTGTGTCGGTAGATCAATGGATAACCAAGTATTGTATTCGTTTATGATTTTTGGGTAGACGGTGTGGGTAATTTGATGAACTGGTGAGTTAGTGTATATATTGACTGGTGAAAGAATTTAAAGGATGATTTTGTATAGGGATTAGTTAGCTTTTTCATAGATTGAGGGATTGACGCTACAGGTGGATAGATGACCGGGTGGATTTGAGAGCTGAATAGTTGCACAGATAGAGTTAAATGTATTTATTACTATTGGTTAATAGATTCAGAAACCGTGACAGAGAGAGAGAAAAAGAGAGACAGTAGGAACAAATTACCGAGAGTGACAAAGAGTGAATGAGCGAGACACAGACAAATATAGACAAACACAAAGAAAGTGAGATAAAGACACAGACATGAAGAGCCTTCCTTTCGCTAAGCTACGTATGAACATGCTTAGAGAGAGAGAGAGATGGTGGTCATTTGCATACATGAATTCCGCACAAAGCCTGAGAATGTCGCTTGAGTCAGTGGGGCATCACCTTGCCAGAGGGGCATCACCTTATGCCCTCTGGCATAAGGTGATGCCCCTTCCTGGACCTCCTTTTCCTACTCCTAATCCATGACCATTTCAAGCAATTTCTTGTCAATTTCACGGTCTGTGTAGGCCGTGAAAGAGAGAAAGAGGAAGAGGAAAAGAACGACGAGGATAAGGAAAGGATGACAAGGCAAAGGGAAAGGGACTATCAGGAAAAAACTTATCCTGACTATCAGGTCAGGATAAGGACTTGGGATTACGGGGGGAAGGAATGATGCTCAACCACTTGGCCGATAGGGGATTGAACGCCGGCCTGCATGAAGCAAGAGTTTCGCTCTACCTTCCAGCCCAAGTGGTTGGACAAAGCAGAAAGGCCAGTAAGGTCTTGGGCCAGTAAGACCACCACAACAGCATACAGACCAATTAGCAGGTACACTTTAATACTAAACATACTCTAAATCAAAATTATACTCCTAGCGTATATATACACCGAGAACCAGTATACCTCTATGTATACCTCTAACGAAAATGCGTGTAAATTAGTAATGAATAGATGAAATAGGAATAATTAAAGTATATATACAATAATAACTATAATAATTGTGATAAAATGTATTATTATTAGTAGTAGTAATAATAGTAATTTTATCTTTAATTTATTTGAATTTTTCATGTCACTTATGAGAGTTTAGTTAACTTTTGTTGTTGTATATGAATGCTATTGGAAATAATTTTGTTTTAATCCATTCATTTATAAAATATTATATTGTTGTAGTGACAGTTTTGGTTATCATGTTACCAAGACGGGTTCCACACTTGTAAAAAATTGTCAGTAAATGAGAAGTAAACACAGAACATTCACACACACACACACACACACACACACACACACACACACACACACACACACACACACACACACACACACACTTCCACGCACAAACACTGAAGCTCATTCTCCCAAACACGCGCTACTCTGCTGACACAAACGCACAAGAGTAGTTCCTGTGTATTATGTTGGTCGCCTGCCATGTCGTTGTTAATATCAGGGTATGTTTGAGTGTGTGTGTGTGTGTGTGTGTGTGTGTGTGTGTGTGTGTGAGTGTGTGAGTGTGTGTGTGTGTGAGTGTGTGTGTGTGTGTGTGTGTGTGTGTGTGAGTGTGTGTGTGTGCCTGTGCGAGTGCTTGCACGCACCATGAGACAGGGCGCAGGAACAATAGGTCGAAAAACGCCGGAAGATGACACTTATTAGAAAAGTAATAGTTGCATCATAAAGAAGATTTTGCCGTTGTTGAGAGTGTGGCGCAGTCGTTATCTCAACCCGTTATCCTGGTGCTAGACTCGCCAGGGGAGGAGTGAGAAGTACCAGCGATTCGTTTCGATATTCGGAATCTCTCGGGAATGAGTTAAGATAAATTCCTGGTATATTTCTTGTCCCACCGACTACATAGAAAGCGACGAGTGAGGGTACAGAAGCAATGTTTCCGCAGCAGGTGGAGGCCAGGAGATGGAGATTAATCCTTGCAAGCACAACCAGGCAAGCACGCACATACACACACACACAGTAAATTGGTACCTGGGAGTTAGTCAGCTGTGACGGGCTGCTTCCGTGTGTGTGTGTGTGTGTGTGTGGTGTGGAAAAAAAAGTAGTTAGTAAACAGTTGACTGACAGTTGAGAGGCGGGCCGAAAGAGCAAAGCTCAACCCCCGCAAACACAACTAGGTGAAAACAACTAGGTGAAAACAAGGAAAGCTGTTTGAAATGGGAAGTTCACGGATTAGGAAATGCAGATAAAACGAAGAATTATTGGTGGGTTAAACGAAAATACCAGAATTTAAATAACAAAATATATATTTAAACCTCGGTTTAAATTAATTTTTTTTATTTATTAACAGTTTTATTCTGTTTTTAATCAACATTCTTCTGTCATAATGGCTGAGGAGTCTTAAGAAAGCAATATTCTGGCTTCCAGACATAAAAAAAACTCATTACTCATTCCATTAACACCCTCTTCCTCACTGTTTTAATATTTACTATTTAATGATCTAGAAGGGTCAGGTGAATTAGGTGGAGGTAGTTACCCATTCAAGACTCACATTGCATTGGTACCTCGTGTGATAAGGTTTGAAGGAGCAATGTTTACTTCTTATATGCAGATTCAAATGCGGATCTGACCCAGAGCAGGCCCAGGAGCTTAAGCTCAACCCCAAACCCCCCTCCCCCCTAAAAAAAAAAAAGCCGGATAAAGTGAGCTCATGCTCACATACACTCGGACACAACAAGACTAATGACCGGATTATTGTAACCGGATCGTTTTAGGAGAGAAAGGAGAGTTACGATTGGACCAAGTGTTTAGACGAGACCATTATCTCCACAAAAGGAACCCGTTCACACGGCTCGTGTGAACCGGACGAAGCGCTTGTGTGAACCTTGAACCGCTTGCTTAAACCGAACGCACCGCTTCCTCGAGTCATAACTTCAGCTCGTTTGAACCGAACGCGCCGCTCCATTGAACCGAACACGCTGCTCCATTGAACGAACGCACCGTTCCATTGAACTAGAAACGCAACTCGCTAGAACCGGACACAATACTCTTGGTGTCGGTTCTTGCGTTTCTCTACTTCATAACGTAAGACTTTTTTTTATATAAATACTTAGATTACAAATAGCATTATGATTACAATCCTTAGCATTACTTTGATTAGCATTCATCTCTGTTTTTGTGACTTTGATTAAACGGCAAATTATTCAAGTACATTTGATTCATCTTCTTCCCGTATCAGAGGACGGCATATATATTATTTCCCGATAGTTATCCACTGAGTTCGGTTTCTGGAAGATATCAGTAACTTGCCAGCTGTTTCTCAAGATAACGTCAAGGGCCTTCTTGGTTGCGTTGCGTGTCTTATATAGCGCCGTCGCTTGAGAAACCTTTAAAGCTGTAGACGAATTTGTCTGTTTTATGGTAGTACGGGCAAATTATTAATAGTAGGAAATCTATGTTAATTTAACCAAGATCAGGGAATGATTGTGGTTGTTACTATAAAAGTTGTTCTATTTAAATGTTTGTTCTGAAAATATTAAGCTGTTTAACTGGAGGGTAGTGTGTCAGAAATCGTCGAATGGGAGGGTTTGAATTTGACCCCTTGGCACGCTGTTACCTTTTGAATTCTGGCCACCCGGACCATCCTCTGTTCATCCCATACCTCACACCCTTCCCCCTGCTAATTTGGGTGAGGGTAGATCTAACCGTGTGGCCTCCAACTTAGAACAAACAGACAGACATTCTGTTCAAAGAAATCTCATTAACGTATAACGTCATGTATCACCTGTCTGTGTGAGTGTGTGTGTGTGTGTCTGTGTGTGTGTGTGTGTGTGTGTGTGTGTGTGTGTGTGTGTGTGTGTGTGTGTGTGTGTGTGTGTGTGTGTGTGAGTGTGTCGGAAAGTGGTTCCCTGGATCGAGGCTCTTGACCAGGGATCTTCCA